ATTGAAATTTACCTATTTAGCAATTCTACATTAATCTCAAAATCCAGATTAATTTAACTTATATTCAACAAATTTTTTACATACTACATTAACTATGTTGATATTTTGATAAACTACAATGTAGAAACATATTAGAATGCCTCCAAAAAATGATATTTTTAATTAGAGATAAAAAATTCGTATTTATACAATTTAAAAGACGTAATGACGTTAAACAGAACTGATTAATAAAATAATAAGATTCGTGTTTTCTAAAAATTAAATTGCAGTATATATTTCCGAATGTATCACACTATAATTGCCTGAAGCCACATACACTCGTCAAAAAAATTAAGGGAACAGAAAAATTCCTAAAATTTTTAGATCATTTTCAAATTGCTCTGCCTCCGTTGAAATTCATCACAGAAGACATCTAGAAGAGTCATTTTGAAGCTTCAGGTCTCTAGTTTTCGACCCTTTATCTCAACAATTTTTCGAGCCCATTATCATTAACAAAATATACAAAAAATCGCGATGAAAAAATTTTTGAATTTTTTTTCTTTTTTTTAAGGCTTGTGAAGACATGGACAAATTTTTTTGATTAATGCCACTTCCAGATTGCTGTTCCTTGTTCCTTCCCCTATAATTTGCAGGTCCATGAAGTTCGTTTCGACGATCGGTCGCAAAGTTACGGAATTTACGTGCGCTGGAAAATACGCTTCTTCGAATTTGGAACCAAGTTCCCCAAGCCATGATACGACGATGCATTAATATGCGCGAACGTTTGCAAGATGTAATTAATAACCGTGGTGGTAATACTCGTCGATTTTGATGAAATTTTTATATATTATAGAACTCGAAAAAATATTTGACACGTATTTTTTTTATCGGCAAACATCCACTCTGAAGTGGTGAAAATAACTCTTAAAGTTGGGGTTGAAAAAACTATTTTCGCAAATATCTCGGGAACTATTAGGCCTAGACAAAAAATTCAAAATGCAAATTTTTCTGTTTTAGAAGGCCAATAATATGGCGTAAGTGGAGTTTTGACAAATATATTTATTTCAAAAATATGTTAAAAATTAACATTATTTTGCAAATTTTTTTAATAAAACGTTGTACCATTTTGATCAAATTTCACATACATAAACTATGTGTCCAAAGAAAAAATACGGATAAATTGGAATTTTTAATTTCGCTTGCGGAAAAAATATTACTGTCCTTGAAGTTATAAGTATGTACATTTTATACCTTCCGTTCGGTTCGCGACTGACTTCGTACTAGTGACAGTATTCGGCGCACGGAAGATCTAAACGCGTAAATTGTATTTCTGTGAAGTGTAATCTCTTCGTGATAATTTAGAGCACATGCAATTAAAGGAATTGCATCTGCTGATTATGAAGTGCCTCACGATTGCAAAAAATATGGTAACTCTGAAAATATCATTTTTTTATAGTTTTGAAAATTATGTCTTTTATTTTGAAATGATCTTCTAATGTATTATAAACAGTAGCAAACGTAAAAGATGTAATGATGTTATGTATTATAAAATCGAAACGAATATCAGTATTTTTCAGCGCATATTTTGTAAAAGTGACATAGTCTTAATTTGATTAAAAGTAAAGTCAACAGGATGATCAAAATGTTCCGCTCTACTACAGATGCAATTGAAAATATCACGTTTTTCATAATTTTGCCTTCTACTTTTTGCAAAAGTTATTAAACAATTTAGTTTTGTAGTCATTATTTATGGATGTAAGGATAGATTGTCAGGAAATCCCAGGAAATAAGGTATTCTGGAAAAATAGGAATTTATTGCGCAGTTAAGGAAATTGTATAGGAAACAGGATAATTTTTTTCTCTTTCTTTCTTTACGCAACGCAACATCCTGACTATTTCAAATTTTACTCTATAGCTCTAGTCAGTCAGACGTCCAGGAGTGACTCTGTTCTCTACCGTTCGAATGGCGTCCAGCTATTTTCTCCGAACTCTCCATAACGAATGGGCGATCAGGGGTATCCTCCCGCACTCTCCTGTACTCTACTCGGGGCGTCCAGGAGATGCTCTGCCCTCTCTTAATCGACAGGTGTCCAGGAAGGTTTAGCCGTACTCTCCTACTGGAGTTTTAAACCGTTACCTCCAGGCGGGCGTTCAGAAATTTTCGCCGTACTCTCCCGCCGGAGTTCCTAACAGCTAAGTCCTTCTCCAGACAGATGTCCAGGTATCATTGTCGAACTCTCCTGCCGGAGTCCCTAGGCTAGTCCGAGAGTGGCCGATGGTCCTCTCTCTCAGACTGCCAAATAGATCGGCTACTGTCGCGATGTTTGTTTTTTACGTTTGCAACATCGTTTTTAAATGTGCCTATTTACTTTACTCTAAATAAAGTTATACTCATTTTTCGTCTACCGAATTAAGATTACGCTGAGTATGGCAGTACGTGATATATAACTACAGTAGTGGTAGAAAAAAATAGGGATAGGTCGCAATAGAAAATAATACGAAATCGCCAAAATTTAGATAGCTGTGGAACTCAAATTATTATTCTATAGATGCTGAAGAACTGTGAGAGTACAATTATACACATGGCATATCATGAGAAAATTGTGAAAAATACAGATAAACTAACGCATGGTAGTGTAAAGTATTGAAATTCACAATTGTTGACTGTAAATGACTATAACTTCAAAAAATTCCAACATTATTTTGTGACCAGAAGTTTATATTTATATTTTAGGTAAAAAAAGATTGTTAAAATTATTAATTAGCAATTATAGCAGCCAAAAAGAATAGTATAGAATATAGAATATATACTATACATTTTTAGAGAAAATTTAATTTTATATATAATATAATATTTCATATACCATCATATAGTAATTTCAATAATTTTTTAATATATTGTCAAAAATATGATTATGAACAACTTTTTTCTTGCTTGAGGTAACAGTAACAATCTTTATGAATATCTTGAAAATTAAGAGAGAAAGAAATTGTTCATTATGTTAATTCCGTTATTTATGCTAAAAACGAATGTGATATTTGTGTTCAGTACATTAATACAACTAATATTATGTGCACAATACATAAATAGCTTAGGGAGGAAAGGGGAAAACAACAATAAAATTCAATCTATAACAAAATACATAGTAACAATATAAACATTTTTTTATGAATATTCTTGAACCTACTTAGAACTTCCTGTCAATTACATGTAGGGAAAAAATTCTTTACAATCACAATAACAAGAGATTATACTAACATATTGAAACATCATTGAAATAATTTTATATTGATAATCAAATATTAGCCATATCACCTTCTACTAGATCAAAGTAAAACCCATTTAACAAAAATATTAATTATTGATTCATCGCCTCCTTTTAATAATGACTTTTTGTTAAAATAATCTTTGAGAAGTTCAGAGATATATGTATTTTACTTTGATGCCATGCTACTAATGGTTACATTTTACATAATAATTACTTTTTGTATTCAGCTATATTTTGTCATATGAATCATAATAGAATAAAGTACAAATTAATTTATTGTTTTCTATTACTGCAAATTAAGATTTTTGAAAAATCCTTTTTGGAGACAATATGAGTTTTAATTATAAAATAGTGTTGGAATTTTTGCATTAAATATTTTCCTTTCAATGATATGATCATTTAAAGTTAACAAATGCCAATATTTCACTTTACATATACTTCATCAACATTTTCCTTACAATCTGTACAATAACATTTTATTAATAACTTAAGTATTGAAAGTATCTCACTTTGTAAAATTTAACTGAACATCACTATATTGGCAAGAATTACAACAATATTTGGATTTACTTTCTCTAATCAATTTACATACTGTTAACCTAGAAACAAATCAGCGATAATATTCAGATATCATCACATGCCATAGAATACAATTTTTTATATCTCCACGAATGATTTTAACCAATGACAGGATAAGTAAATGGATAGATAAAATGCTGATACTCTAACTCATTTTAGTGCCTAAAAAATTAACCATAAAATTAATTTAAAAATGTATCATTTAAAGGATACTCCTTTTGCAACTAATAATACAGGAAAAAAAGTTTAAATATAATAATTTTATTAGAATTTTTCCTAAAATAAAACGGAATTTATGTTCTAGCTATACATTAATCACTCTAGGAAATTTTCATACAAATTACTGTTTGTTAAAAGTACATATATGCATGTCACATTAAATAATAAGATTTTGAAATATAATGTTCTGGAGTTTACTAGATTTGTCATGTTCCTGTTATTATAATTTGTTGTGTTTTTTAAACAATCATAGCAAAACTATAAAACATAGAATGTACACTAGTTTCATTTTATACTTATTAATGATCTTGTCAGTACCATGAATAATATTTTTTTATTAATAATTACATAGACAGAAAGCTACAAACATAAATCCAGTGACAAAGGTATCAAGCCTTTTTGTCAACAAAAGCTAATTGAATGGAATAAAAACATAAAGGGTCTAGTCGAATAAGGTAGTGTTTGTAGATAACTCAAAATTCATAGCATACTCATAAATTATAAATTTCAAATTTGTAACTGTTAAAATAAAAGATAAGTTTGTTGATTTATGTATAGATAAAGCGAAAGATGCAACAACTGCACAGATGTGCACATATCCAGTTGACCAGTAAGAACATATCATGTAAAGTATTTAAGATTATATTATTTTAGAAAAGTATATAGCTTCGTTATTTACAAACTTAAAAATGACATATAAAAAGATTTAAAAGTTTATGAATAACAGCTGAATTTTGGATACAAATTAATCTGATTAGTAATTCTTCATTTTTTGTTTATATAGTTATACCTATTAACTTTTACTGTAATAAATATATAACACAGTTCGATATATTTAAGTGTTAAAAAGTAAAGCTTCCCAAAAATTCATATTTTAATAGAATCATGTAGGTATTATTATAAAAGTATTATATTAATTTAATCAATAAAAGGAAATGTATTTATAAAGATTACCTTTTGAGTTGTGTAAAAATACCAGGTTCCATAATATAATCTGGTGTCTTAAATTTGTTCAAGCACTCATTTAATATTTCTTGAGGATTGTCAAAACTATCTTCCCCTCCGCCATCTTCAGCTGTTCTTGTTATTTCATCTGTCCAACCACTATGGTCATCACTGTAGTCAGGCTCCATTATTTCTGTCGATTATGGATATTTAATCCCCTTTAATATATAATAAAAAATAGTTAAATAATAGTTTATTACTGTTATGTTGTATATCTATAAAATATATTACTTATAAATATAGATATAAATATTCTTTAATCATCACAAGATGGACTTTAATATGATAATAAACTGAACGTATGTAAGTGATTCAATTGGAAAATGTGTGTTTTGTAAATACTTTCTATATAAAGTTTGATATACATAAAATTGTTTACAACAATTATACATGTTAATCAAACCAAAAATCAAAGAAAATATACTTATTTCTCTAAATCTTTAGAACTCATAACAAATGAACACAGTGAAGATATTATTTATTTAATTACATTAACTTTACATTTATAAAACAGAAAATACTCGAAAAAAATTTTGAAGATAAAAATCAAATATACTTATATTGGTTAATATTTTGTTTGATACTTCAGAAGCTATATAATAATTGTGAAAATTAAATACAGATAAAAAACTTAACAACTGCTTTCATTAATAGTTGCAATTCTCTTTACCAATCAGATAAAAACAATTATAGATGCAGCAGCCTTTATATATTTATATATTTTAATATTAATTTAGGTCCTTTTTAGTTATCATTATTATATTTTTTATGTTATATTTTATGTTAAGAACTAAAATTAAGTTGCAGTTAAAAAATTAGGAAATTCTGAACACAAGTCTGACACATACTACAAGTAATTTGTAATTCTAACTTATAAATGACAATATACACAAATAATTGTATGGTTTACAATAATTATGTGAATATTCTGATTCATTTAAATTAACTTAATTCTTTCTTAAAAGTAATATCTAATAACCTAAACATATTTGCATTGGACAATGTAATAAAAATTACTCAAATAAACAGAAAGCCTATTAAATGATTCAATTATTGCTTTCAGGAATATTTTATTACATTTATATAGCACAAAGATGTAATACAAATGGAACAATGAAAAAAAGATATATAAAAAATGCAAAACAATTTATTTTTTATACAGAATAGTGAGAAGTAAATAAGTTGTAACACTGAAAATTTATACACAATTAATTGCAATGAAAAACAAATAATTGACCATCGTTGTCTAACCTATACATAGTAAAGTTTATACTTCCAGTAATCCATAATAGACGATCATATTATTTTCACTGTCTGCAGCTTCAAAAAAATTAAACAAAATTTTAGATATTTATCAAAATCACTCTAATATATTAGATCAAAGTATTGTTTTTATATTTGATTTAGTTAAATGGATATTAATTATTGTTAAACTTCGAAATCATTCTTTTAATATTATACATAAAACTATAAAAATACATATATTTATTTCCAAAATATAGTAATTAAAAATAATATTACATAATAAAATCATGAAATTATATCACATTAAATTGCAGAGAATATTACATCGCTAAAGAACTTGTTATTCTGTCCATTAAATTTAAAATATTTTTATTTTCAGTCACAAAATATTGTATATTATTTTTATAAAGATTATTACGTACCTTTAGATTCCTAGAAAACTAAAATACTAATTAATCATTGATACAAAACTGTAAATAATGTATTGATATGCGTTTACCATAGTGTATAAATCAGTAAAACAATCTAATATAATATATACATAGTTTACCAAGAGGAGAAACATATATTCTATTCCATGAAACAATATAGTGTGAATAAATGAGCGCCAATGGGGCTTAAACGCCATCTTTCGAGTAAGAGGGAATATAGTAACTAGATGACGATTGTAGTTCAGTCAAAGAGTAGGAATACATCAAGAGGCAACACTAAACAAGGAAACTTACCTCCTAGAAAGAGATAGAGGATGGGCAAATTGAGCCCCTACGGGGCTCAAGCGCCCTCTTCCTTTGTGGAGAAAATAAAAAACTAACTAAACTAAGAGACAGAGGACACAACCAATTTAAATGCTTAAATCGAAAGAATAAGGGGAGCGCATGTGCACAGTGTAAAAATATGGCGCTCGAAAAAGAATAATTTAAGCATGCATATTCATCAGTAATTTATTTGTAATAAATATTTTGTAATATCTTGGTAACACATTCATCTGTAATTTCTTGTGATATATAGTTTTGTAATTTTTTTATAAGTTAATTGCAATAATCATTTTCGTAATGCATATTCTTCAAATATATTTTGTAGAGCAATCATTTTGGTATATTCTATTCTTTTTCAACTTTTCAACGTCGTAAAATTGATAAAAATACTTCAAAAGTCAATATTAGTAATATACAGAATATATATTACAAATATATTCCAAATTATTAGAGATTGACATGAAAGTAGATTTGTTTGATTTAAATTTCCCGCTCGTTTATATAACCAATTTAAAAAAACAGCGTTTTCGAGAGATCAAAGGTACCGGCAGAGAGTATCGCCTCTGGTTTACTTTGTAGTTCAGTTCAGTTCAATTTATTGTTCTATTGTTAAAAAAGAGGGCATCTGAGTGGTTTCCACTGTGGGGACTGAGGTGAAGGAGAGCCCGGTGTAGTAAATGACGCATAACAACTTATTCTTGCTATTTGCAAGTATTGCACTTTTTATTAATTCGCGCACGTGTTGACTCTTTCGCTTTCTTACACCCAGTGACGCGCGTTGTGGTTCTTTTTTGGCGCGTGTTCTTTACAAACTAATCTTACCAACTAATTATATACAGCTTAACCTAAGAAATAAAAAGTAACTAGTAAGGGAACTGTTCCAAAGGGCGTGTGTGTCGCTGTCGCTACAGTTGCCACACCACTTATTTTGCCCATAGGTACTGTTGCGTGTGAGACGGGCGGGAATAAAAACTTAAGAATTTTAAAGCACTCTACTCGTGGCACGATATATAAAATAATTTGACTGCAAGATAACTTTCATTCAAATTTAAAGAATTGGTCTTACAAGGAAAGGCACGCAAGTGTCCCCCACCGATTTTGATGAAACTTCGTAGGTTTGTTAAGCAGGCAAAAATAAGGGACACGTATTTTTTTTTATCGGCTGAGACGCGGGTTTAAGGGGTGAAACGAGCCCTTAAAGTTTCGACCCATTTTGGCTATCTCGAAAACCATACGAGATACATTAAAACTTCTAATAGAAAAGTTGTATGGTTTCTTGCGTATAATAACAGGATGTTAACCAATTTTGCAAAATACAATTTGTTTATAACAAAAAAATTTTTCATAACCTTATTTTACAATTTATTCAAATTTGTATAATGACAAAAAGTGTAGAGAATTTTATTACAAATCCATTGGTATATATATATACGATATTGCCTCCTACAATTCCTCAGATTTTTATCATAAAGGTTCGCGCGCGCGCCCGCATGATACTAAACCGGATCATATCGGACGATATTACACTACCAGTCAACGTCATTTTTAAGCATAAATGAGAGAAACAATTATATTTGCGTTATACATAACTGTTAATTTTATTAAATTTGTATTACAAAACATTTATTGTTAAAGTACATAGGTATTCTATGTATATGCCAATTTTATAGGTAACGAATAGTTCGAATAAGTTAGGGAACATAATCGTGGCAATAATGGTATTCTCCGAAAAAATGTTTCAAACACAACGGTTTCCGACATTAAGTATATGTAATAATTGGTACGTCACGGCACCTGTATATGGCATAGTTGTTCATTATGTGATGCATAGCAAAATTCTACTGTATTTGGAAAATGAGGTGGTTTTGACGATATGAATCCACTTTTATATTATAAAATGAAATTTTCAAATCATGGTGAAGAAAACTGATTATGAACAAGTCATTGTAGTTTTAGAATGCTATCTCGTGTGTGGAGATTAATTTCATATTGCAATATAACAACTATGTCCGAAAAGCGACAAACAAAATTTTTCCATACGCGAAATCCGTACACGTATAATAGTTGTAAATATTTTGTAGTTCCAGTTAGAATCATAAATAACATTATTTCTTTATTTATCGGAATAGCTTCGTCAACCCTACGACAACAATGCGCGCTCCAAAAATCTAATAATAGAGCTGTTTTGTTGTTTGTATTTGGAGAATAAACTTCTGTTAACCAGGTTTTAAAATTTTCTTTTGTAAGTTTTCCGGATGTCGATGCCATAACAAAAATATTCAT